AAGGTCCATTTATAGTTTAAGATCTGCTTTACAAAACTGCCAACTAGCTCCGGCTTCAACTAGGCGCAAATAAATTTTTGCAGTAAATTCTCAGTAGTATCTGCAAAGAAGATCGTGGCCTCCTCCTCTATTCTGGGCTTCTTGCCAATTGGAGAGTGTTTGTCTGCGAGAACGAAAGCTGAGATTGACTGCGTAGAACATTTTTTATCCATAGATATCTGGGAATATAAGGTCTTTGGTACCGGGATTTATTTTTATTTTTGTTTCAGTGATTCCAGACACCAACGTCCACGTACACACAAGCTCTTATAGAGTGGGAGTCTTGTGAGAAGTATGGAAGTACCAGACCCTATTTTAATAATTCCCAATTCACATACTGTGAGAGAGATTGTTTGCCGATTGGTAAAAGTAGTTAGCTCGTGAAAACAGATAATCTCAAGCTGTGTACACGATTCATGCAGTCGATTTCCCGATCGATATGGCCACGTGCCCTTACCAAAACAATAAAAGTATTTTAATGCTGCAAGTAGATATAAATAGTCATTTTTCTAGTTAAAGAGAAATAAGCCAACAGAGAATAAAGTAATTAATAAAATAAATAAATAATAATAAAATTCACTGAATTTATAGTCTAAGTTTCCTACTAATTATTATATTACTAGTTTAGTCAGTCTACTATGCAATGATTCTTTAAGAGCCTGATCTTTAACAGGCGACGTAGCATATTCAGTTGCAGCAAATTCAATGATGTTGGCCGCATTTACGGCATTTAATAAGCATGTATTGCACACGCACGTTCTTGTGCAATTAGAATTTGTATTTCGCTGTGATTTTAAACTCTACCGTGTGAAGTTGTACTTTTAATAATACTTAAATATTTTCCTATTACCTTTTACAAAAATTTTACCAAAAAAAATCTAGTAAAATAATTTACCCGCGATAAATGAATACTCTGCCGTGCGAAAAATGAAATTTCACGCTATAGTTGAGCATTCAAACATAATATGCAGGTTTGTGATAGAGATTTCAAAAAGAATTAACGGAAAAAATATTTGCCCGTTCCCAATCGCATACTTTATAACTTTGTTTAACGCTGTGATTAATTAATAGATATAACAGACGTACAGTTTTAAAAATACTATTGATAAATTCCAGCTAACGAAGATTCTAAACTAACTCAGAAGGTTAATAACGTCGGCGTGTCAAGGCTTACAAGTTAATTATCACCGTTAAATCACGAAATGATACTTTTAACGAAAATAGCCGTAAATTCATAGCATTATATTAACGTCCTTTCATAAATATACTCGGCATTAATAACATAGATCCGTCGTATAAGTATTTTAAAAATAGATTAGTAATGCTTATTATAAATCTACAAAGAGCTCAAGATCAATTGTGTAACAGCTTAAAAAATATATAATTTAGAATTTTGAGGAATATCTAAATGCACAGAACAAGAATATTTTTTTCGCTTTTCAACCGATTAAAAAAGGAGTAGGTTCTCGATTCGGTTGTATTTTTGATTGTTTGTTAACTTAGAACTCCGTTATTCATGAAACGATTTTAGCATCAGAGATCTCCTCAAAATCTAACAGAAAATGCATATTTCAATTTACCTGTGTACTAAGTAATCTTGCTTGACATACTTATTATAAGTAATTCTATGACTAGCCGTGATAGCTCAGTGTCCGGGCGCTCGCCTTTAATTCAATATACTCGAGCAACTTGAGTTCGATCCCCGGTGCCGGCACCAATGAAATTGTTAATTTTAAGTGCCGTATTATCACTTGCTCAGCGGTGAAGGAAAACATCGCGAGGAAACCTGCATATTTTCGAAATAATAACAAAAAAAAAATATTTCGAAGATATGTGAAGTCCGCCAATCCGCAGTGGGGCCGCGTGGTGGACTATGCCCTGATACCCTTTGTATAGAGGAGGCCTTTGCCCAGTTGTGGGACATGTATAGGCTGATACTTTTATGACTGAAAATGTTTTCTATAAAATATGCAAATCTTGCGACAAGCTTTTATGTCATTTAATAAATAGTGTAATGCATGTACTAAATTGATTTGTTTAATTTAATTTTAAGTTTATTTTTTTCTTCTTAGGGCAATTAAATAAATTTATACCATTAATATTGTATTTATAAGCTATCCTCACAAAATACTTAAATTTTTTTTATTGTGGAAGTTGGCAAACAAGCTGGCAGTCCACCTGATGTCACTGAAGTGATAACTTACGAACATGAACATTGGTAACACCCGAAGAGTTGCAGATACGTTCACGATCACTCAGCAGACGAAACGCAGACGTACAACACTTCCAATTAACGTCGGTCTTCTGTGAGGTCGTGTTTCGTCACCGGATATATGATCCTGCGATGGAAATAATACCACGTAGGGGAGAGATATCTCGCTCTGGTCGGACCGACGTGCCCATTTACGCAACAGCGAAGACTGATCAACCCCTATAACAGTTACTACGGTTTAATCAATCAATTCCGGCGTTCAAGTCAGCAGTAAAAAACAACGAATGTGTTGAGGCACTATATTTCGGAGTCTATTTTTAATAGGAAACAGATCATTGGCAATCATCGAAACTCATGATGGTGCTGGTGAAACCGCTTTCACAAATGCGTGGCAGAAAACTCTAGGGTAAATACGTGTTAGCTGACTTCTAACCAAAAAGCTTTAAGTATCGATGGTATTCGGCGGCGGCAAAATATACTATTTTATTGTACTGATGCTAAGAATTCGGACCGAGGTGACAAATAGGAGAGAGGCCTCAAAACATTTGATTATATGATTTTTCTCTAACGGCAAACGCGGAAATCTCTTCACTTAAGGTGAAACATGTTTTTTTTTTTAGAAAAATGGATGAAAAGTTTCTTGCTGGGGCAATTCAACCCGACAACACTTCTTCCGTTGTAAAACGATATTCGTCTGTATGCTACAAAGGATGTTATAATAGAAGCGCCAAATATTGCTTGAAATGCGAAAATAACTATTGCGATTTTCCTTGGTGTAGCAATCAGTAGTTTAGCTTAGTGGTTAATGCATCTGGGCGTGAATCCGAAAGACGTGGGTTCGATTTCCGCAGCGGCGTAACAACATTTCCCAGGCGATATATAAAGCATAAACTGTACCGACATCGGCACAGCAATGAACATTGCTAAATTAAAGAAAGCCATTGTCATGCAGAAAGATCGTTCATGCAGCCCTGTTTAAAATAACATTGACAGGTTTGGCGTTTGATCAGTTAGAAAACTAGCGAGCCAATAGCATAAGCTTTCATTAAGGACATATTTATAACCTCGGAAAGAAGCGATTTGTACCCAACCCGATCAGTCTTACGCTAAGGTCAAACTAAATCCGAAGGTACTCTCTTACTCTTAACCATATCCATCTCCATTCAAAGATGGGTTAGATACATTGATGACGCTGACCAACTGGAGCTCCTCAAAGTAACTCAGTTAATATGGGCTTATTATTCATCCCCATTAATAATACGGAAATAGATCTGCAGTTGAATCGATTCCGAGCATTCACCTTTTCTAGGAATCAGTTGCACGAAAGCCAGTATTTCAAACACCTGAGGAGTGAACGGCTTAGAGGAGATTACGGTGTTAGGGCCACGCAGCAGCCTTGGCTGTTGCACGAATGGGCTGGCCCGTCCGGGTAAGTACCACGACCTCACAGAAGACCAGCGTAAAGTGGAAGTATAACAAATACTTTCGCGTTTCGTCTGGTGAGTGAGGTAGCCGGAGCCCAATTTTCAAAAAGTTGTCAACGCATCTGTAACCCTCGGGTATAGCAGATGTCCATGGGCAGCGGTATTCACTTAACATTAGGTGAACCGTCTGCTCGTTTGGCAACTTTTAAAATAAAAAAAAGTATTAATACTGGAAAAGTCACGCTAAACGGAGTACAGATCCGCAACATAGTGGGAATTCATTAAGTCAATTACATTAGACCCAGAATGAATGCCCAAGAGATCTTTTACGCCATGAGCTAACGCGTGATCACTCTTGTGCAGTAATTGTATATAACAACAAATGACATTTATTTCAGTTCAGTGTTTAGGACTGTGAGCTAAATTAATCCCCTATCAGCCGTATTTGATTTTGGTAAGGCTCAGCTCCAACACTGCCTTTACTTACCGCACCGTGAATGCAATTTAGAAAATTGAATGATCATTTAATGAGGTCCGTTTTGAGTTTGCGCCTTGAACAAAACAACTTCAGTTAAAACTTCAATGTGTTTGATAAAACAATGCATTCGCAACATGAAATAAAATTATAAAATAATCGTCTGGTACATGAATAACCTAATACCTGAAATAAAAGAAGCGACGATTGTCCAATATTGGATAAATTATAATCCTACGATGGCAACAATACCACGTTAGGAACAAACGCCTGTTAGGGTTGAATGTCAATAATGTCAGAACAGAAAAGGTAAACTGGAGAAAAAAAGGCAAAATGAAGATTATGCTTGAATAAATCAGATTGTATAATACACTTACAATGAACATTCTATGCTACTACTTATTATACTAATTACGAGTAGGTACGTAATTAAAATGTTTTTCTGCGCAATAATCAGCACTTATGCAGGAAATTCTATTTAATATCATGGTTATATCCCTCTATATGGACCGATAGGCATCAGATAGATGATTGATATTATAATTTATGATATCCGAATAACTCGGCAGTAGGATAAAATTCCGAGGCGCAACAAGCAGCTATAACCGAATACAATAAAAAAATGTACACAGTATTTGGTTTATTTCAATATAAATGTAGTACTTATAACCTATATTACACTATTTTATAAATATGACTTCTTCCAGTATATGTACAAAATTCTACACATAAAAATATGAAAAGTATCTAGGTAGGCATCCCATTTAAGTCAGAAATGATTCTTAATATAGAATTTTAAAATTGATCAAATAAGCCTGTTGCTTCTACATTTGGATACAATTAATACTCATTTCACTTTCCCACTTATGCCACTGCTATCAATTTTCACGTAGTTCCCATAGGGCGTACTTATTGTTTGTGGTCCGGGAACATACGGTTCATATACGACGTTAACGTGTTTGCTCTCCGGTGAAGTGGGCACACCTTCTCTGCTCCAGGAGGCTGCAAAACATCAAAACAATTACAACGCCATCTATCGTAAAACGATTGTACAATCTAAGATTGTACATTTTCAGGTCAAAATTTCGTTTTGCTGAGCCGTGAACCTTTTGTGAAGAGGTTTTATAGTTTAGAATAAATGGCACTAATTGGTATCTTAAGGACACGATTCTCATATTTGGCATTTTACAATACTCCCTTTAGCAACATTGGACGCCGAAGTTATTAAAATAAATGTTAGAGGGCGTTATTACAAGTTACTTACAGAATGGGATGTGCTCATCGGGGGCGCTGTGTCCATTGTGGCCGTTGTGTATGTGCAAATGGATTTCCTTTTGCGGCGAATGCGGTGGTTCCCAGCCACTGCTGTTTTGATGTCCTTTACTTCCAAACAGTGCGCCGATCTAAATATTTAGAAAGTTCATCTCAAAGCTATTGTAAAATACGACTATAGAGTTTAATAACGAAAGTACTACTACTACAACTTGCAACTTTATATCAAAATACAAGTGTATCAGATACCTATAACAAAATTGTATTTCTACGTCAGCGAAATTTCTAATTAAGTTTATTATAATTAAAAAAAATATATGTTTTTTCAAAAATACTTCAGAAATTTAGTATCATAAAAATCTGCGTATCCTATATAATCACCAATATAAAAAAGCAAATCTATGATATATTTATTAAAAATTACATCCTGTACTAGCACTTGACAACTTTGAAACATGAATTCCTCCTCCTGCTCACAATTCAATAGATAAAATATCTCGCATCTTTTGGGTCCCTAGAAAGCGGCTTTCACTCGTCCGTCAGTGACGACAGAAGTCAGTTTACGACAGAGACCGAAAATGAATCCGTATCGTATGTACTTATTCTTACTTTTACTTAAATTGTTTACAATAACATTCTCAAGCATCCTAATTTATTCATTCACAGAAAATAAAACACAACGGCAACTTGAACTGATGCGTTCAAATTAAAAGGGATCAATTCCGGAATATATGTTAATAAATGTTTTTATATTCATAATTCACGTAGTTGTATTCAATTATTATTAATCAGCATCATAATGGTTTCTTTCTGTACCTTCGGGAAAAGCAACACCTAATATTTAAGGGTCTGAAATTTCGGTCAAATGCACTAAATGAAAAATGAAAGAAAAATCCTATGCCCTGATACTAGAGCCTGACTGCAGGAGCCAAAATTTTGTCTTAAATTATTAAATAAAAAGTTAATTTTAGTTTTACTCTTACGTTTCTATTCGCACAGAAAAAAAAGTCAATCCATTTTCATAATATTATTTAACATTTAATATTGATGAATACAGAAATAAAAGTAGCTAAAGATTTTTCATTATGTTGAAATGAAAATGAAATAATTTTAATGAAATTCGAGGAACATGTTCAGTTCAATTTGAAGTTTTTGAAGCCTTGAAAATTAATAGAAATTTAAAGAAGCGCGCGTTTGTATTTGCACAATCTTTGCACGAGCCTCATAATATTTCAGTAGTGGATGGAAATGAAACACATATGAATGAACATATATGAAACATCCGCAATAATGTGAGATTTCTATACTTTTGCGTGTCATCCAATAAGTGAATTGAGGTTCACCGTAGGACAACATAGCTGACTATCCTATCACTGTGATCAATGTAGTGTTGCCATGTCCAAAGATGGCGGTAACCATTTACCATCAGGTCACTACTTGCACTTAGCCGTGGTAGGGCCACCCAACAGTCTTCACTGTTGCACGAATACGCAGGTCCATCTGGGGAATTACCTCGACCTCATGGAAGACCTCACGCCGGTCTTAAGTGTGTACTTCTGCGCTTCGTGAGTGAGGTAGGCGGGCCCATTAAACAGGTGTAGTAAGCGTCCATGGGCGGCGGTTATCGTTTAACATCAGGTGAACCGCCAACACGCATGCCAAATCTTCACATAAAAAAAAAACGAAACGCTGGGTAAACCTTAACAGCGCCAGCCACGAGCAGCAGTTTGAGGATGAGCAGGGTAACTCCGAGGGTCTTGATGCCGACCAAAGCTGCTACCACCGCCCACGTAGCGGCCGCGCCCATCTGGAACACCAGCGGTATGAGCGCAGCCGCCATTTTCTTGAACGGCCGCCCGAAGGTTCTGCCTGAAAATGTTTTAAGGCGCATCTAAGTATACATATATCGTGTACAATTGTTGGCAAATTTTGATGAAGCAATAGTTAAAGGTGGAGTTAGTATGGAGGAAAATTTATACGAAGAAAATTTTGTTTGGCAACCCAAAGAAATAGTTGTAATAATCGAATCACAGAAGACCAGTGTAAAGTTGAAGTGAACAACTTAGAGAAGATTACGGTGTTAGGGTCACGCAGCAGCCTTGGCTGTTGCACGAATGGGCTGGCCCATCCGGGTAAGTACCACGACCTCACAGAAGACCAGCGTAAAGTGGAAGTTTAACAAATACTTTCGCGTTTCGTCTGGTTAGTGAGGTGGCCGGAGCCCAATTTTCAAAAGGTTGTCAATGCACCTGGAACCCACGGGTGTAGCAGATGTTCATGGGCGGCGGTATTTACTTAACATCAGGTGGACCGTCTGCTCGCTTGGCAACTTTTCACATAAAAAAAAAGAATAAGGTAAAATGTAGATACTACAAGCTACGTGTAAAGAAGGAAAATTGCAACAACTGTTATTAATAAAAAATTTCTTGCGATTCGAAGTTATTATGTTTTTAGTCTATTTGGCTGGTTACAGCAAGCACAGAAGCGGACATGCTGTCCCCTCAGCCCTGTAATCACGGCCTCACAGAATAGGACTAAGGTATCCCCTGCCTGTCGTAAAGGCGACTTAAAGGGGACGTTACGGTCTCGGACTAACAGTGCGAAGTGCCCTCGTGCTGTTTTAAGCTGGTGAGGGGAAGGTTCATCCTTCTCCGCGGCGTGCTCATGAAAAGTACCGAGGGACACCGGTGCGTTCCGTAGGAGCTCCCGGGGTCCCTCGGGTTATAGTGGGTACGACCCCTAACGCGTCAGAGATGACAGGGTATCCTTTGAAGATTTCCCCCCGCACATAAAAAAATAAATGATTACAACAAGCAACTTTTCTGGCGTTGAAATAATTCCTTTAATAACTCGATTGTAGGCATTATTAGTATTAAAGATAGGTACATTTTCCAAATATGTAATTACTTTAAATAGTATAATAAAAATCTTTTAACCGTTTCATGTAATAATAAATATATTAAAAAATGATGACGAGCATGGATTCTGAAGGTGAATTATATGTATAATATAAGCCCATTCAACCTGAATACTACCAACATTTTATCTTTTAAGTTATTGCACTTGCCTAAATACCTCACCAGACCATAAGTTTACTGATAGAGAATGCCTTATACATTAAGTCCGGCTGAAGGGATAGAATACTATTATATAATTAATAAGGAATAAAAGCAATTAAGATTAAATAAATAAATAAAATTTCTCATCGATTACTTATATTTTATCCCACATGGATTGCGAGCAACCAAGCGGTTCAACTAAACGTAATAAGAACCACCGATCCCATATGATCCCCCAATACAACAGACATATCGCAAGCGTATCGCCAACCGCTGTTATTGCGGAGCTCCGGTTACCTCACTCACTGGAAAAAGGTAAAAGCAAATGCTTTCACTTCATGCCATACTGTTAGGCCGTGGTACTTCCCCGCTTGAAGTCACATATTCGTGTACAAGAAGTTTTTATTACTCTACCACAGTACAACCGCTCTACCAATGTATAAAAGATTATACAAAATGTATTTATACTCACTGATCTGACCGTTTTTATTTTACTACGGTGAAATTTTTATATTATTGCGATTTTGTTACGCTATAGAAATATAGCTTCTTACGTGTTACCCACGCATAATTATAAGTAAGCACAATACAATAATGATATAAATGCAGACTATAAGGAACACTTAACAAAATTGGCCTGTCAATACAGTTTGAGAGATTGATAACTGTGTGGCTGTTGCACGAATGGGGAGGCTCGTCCGGGTAAGTACCACGACCTCACAGAAGACTGGCGTAAAGTGGAAGTATAACCAAATAGTAAAAAGAAAAAAAAAAAGATTAGCATAAAGAAATACGAAAAAAACGGCAAATCACTATGCATAGCGTTAATCTTACAGTGACACTACAAACTTTTTAAACGCATATGTTTAGGACACAAGTAAAACAGAAAAGCACTTGCCCTGCATAGAAGTCCAATGCAGCATTGTTGACACAAATACTCAGGTCTGTAAACCGCACGGCTGACACTCTTTATGAACTAATAAGTGCATTCCATGCACTCGTTTGTGATTGATTAACCTTGATAGAGATTCACTACGCTAATATTGGTTCCCTTGAGGTAGATATCTCGGACCGTGTGACCTTCAACTTACGATTTGCCAAAAGCGTTAAGAGGACAAGCAAACAAACTCGAACACAATATTTACAACGAAGGTTTATTTTTGAGTGAGATTTCAATGTTCTTTATGGTAAAGAAATAAACTATTATTTTCCGATTACAAGCTTAATAGAAATTCATGCAAATATAATTATTACCCCTCAAATGAATATAAACCAATTTACAAATAACTTTCAATTACTTTTCCCTTGTTCTTTATCAAATATAAAACTTTTGTATACTATTTTGTACGAAAGTAACATTAAATTTAGCTTGTTCACTTTTATCAACGCAAAATATTACATAATTTTACATACAGCAACGATAGTTCACCTAGTGAAATTATTATTTAGTGTACAGCGTAAACAAATCTCAAAAATTTAGACCATATTTAACTCAAAGCATACTTAATGTTAATATTAATTATTTTGTAATTAATATTAACATTAAGTATGCTTTGATTCATTCAGGTGTAGTATTTTACCAAATATACCTTTTGTAATATTATTACAGAGAGGTTAAACTTGTGGCGAGAACAAATAAAAAAGAAACCGGTCAAGTGCGAGTCGAACTCGTACGCCGAGGGATCCGTACCTACCCACTATACATAATAAAATTAGTAAATAATCACCACCGATTTTCTCAGTAACGGGTGGACCTAACAAGTTAACCATAGCTTTTCGACCCAAAACCTTTTGGGTACTCCCGGTTGACCTAGAATTGTTAAACTTGGTTAAAAGCAAGGTCTTACAGCCCAAGTTAAGGGAAAATAAAAAAAGTTGAAAATTAAGGTAAATTTTGGTACTTACAAGTTTTCGCGAAAATCTAAATTTGCCCATATTGTTTTATCGTGTTGACTCAGGACCTTGACACCTAATAGCGACTATAAACATCAGTATCTGGTATAAATTACAACTGGCTAGGTCCATCGGTTTCTGAGAAAATAGGTGGTAATACACGGACAAGAGAGTGATCTTATAAGGGTTCCTTTGTTTTACCTTTTAAGGTAAGGAACCCTAATTACAATATTTGAATCGACGGTCCACTTTCAGTCCAAATATCAGTTTAGAAGGTAAAATTATTAATCAAAAACAAAACGGACGTCAAATATCTCATGATTATCCTTAAAATCACATACACCTATTTGATTTTCAGGATAACCATAATGTATATTTGAAATCCAAGGTATAATAGTAATGAAATTAATATGGGACCACATGGGAGCTAACGCCAATAAGAAAATATTTAATAATCGGTTTATCATTGACGGAGTTCTGAAGCAGCAAACATAAAAAACAATACAACCCCTTTTAAAACCTCCCCCTTTTTTGAAGTAGGTTGTTAACTAAAAAAGCAACACAGGCCTTGCCGAGTCACTGACCCAGATTCAACGAAAACGTTGCAAATTTTTAAGAGAAATTGAGAGGAAACTACTCGTAAATCTTTGAATTCCATGCCTTTATGAAAGCACTCAATACGAAGGCAGTTAGCCTCGATGAGCTGAGAAATCATCCATCCGAATGTGTGACGGTCGACGCCGCTAGGCGGACCACTTCCGAAGTTTTTGCAGAAAGCGATCAGAAGATAATGTGAACCAATAGCTTTATATTATAGTTTAATACTGACGCTAAGAAAAACTTTTTCCGGCTTCCTACTTCAAGAAATTTGTGATTTTTGTTACAAAAGAATACAAAAGTGTAATTGTTAGTAACATTTAATGCTGCCTAAAAAAAGTAAAGGATAATTCACCGGACAAATGAAAAAAAAAAAGACATTTTCCTTTAGACATATTTAGGAATCGGCGTACGTCTATTTAAAAAAAAATAAAGACTTAAATGACCTTTGAATTTGATTCGTGGCCTTAAAACTAACCAAACTGATCGTAATACTTGACCGACCTCGAAACCAACTAAAACGATCGTATATTTCACCAAATGAACGACACGAGCCAGCTTTATCAACTGTCTTGTTACGTCACAATTTAACCTTAGTCAGCGCTATGTTGGTATTTAAATGGTGAATTTGATGAACAAAAAAACAATTAAAAATCTCCATTCTATAAATCACAGTTTTTTACATATTATTTTTAATATCAATATAATTACAATAAGATATTAGAGATGTTGATATGAGTTTCCGGTCGATCGCTTTAAATTCAATATTCAACACCAGTTCAAATGCCGCGCCTTTTAAAAAAAAATCATAATAATGATGTTGCCGTTTGCACGAAATTAGAAAGCCTACTGAGCCTTATGCCTCCTGTCTTCTTAAGAACACAGGAGGCACAAGAATTTAAAAGAGTTTAAATCGGAATTAACCGGAGTTTAATTCGGATTCGTGACTCCGAATCAACGACATCCTCCAGTACTTAGTCTATTATAAAGTTAAATACATTTTTTTCTTTGTATATAATTTATACAAATACTTACGAGGAAAACTTAAAACGAAATATAATATCCATTATTTGTAATACTGGGTTGGTTAAAGTTAAATCGTGACATCAAAGAGATAATGCGATCCCCTGCTAAAAGTGATAATGATCAGTGGCTATCTGAACTAGCAATTGACAGCAAATTCGCGACGTATTGTTAATTCATGCTACTGCTACAGCACGATTGTCCGTTATAAAGATGACGATAACGTTAACGGTTCTGTTTACATTCTTACTGAATGCAAAATGTGTTCGGAGCTAGCGAGAATACAAAAACGGATAGGCGGATGTAACAATTCTGTTTTCATTTAAATATTCTTTAATATTTCTTCTAGGCAAATTCAATGTTATTGCTCAAGAGGTTTCATACCTACGTCAACGTAAACGAAATTCAAATTCTATGAAAATTTGTTGAATTAAAATTAAATTAAAATATGTATAAAAAAGATGTTTGAATACTGGCTATACGTATTTATAAATCTATTTTATATCGATTTATTTATAATGTTATGTACAATTTTTTAATTAGAAGATTTCTAAATTTATGCGAAATATATACTTTTCACGAATTAAAAATTGCACAATGAGCGTGCGACGAAATTCTGTATCAATGTCATATGCGATTACATTAGTGTTATCAGATACTATCTTTGCCAATTATTATTTTTTTGGGCATAAGTTAAAACCATTTTCAAGAAGTGAAATCTTTTCTATGCGCACAAACTTACAAACGCTTACGCTCTCTACCTAGATATCCAATCTTGTTTGATTTCCTTATTAAGTAACTAAATAAGAAAATTGTACACGTAATGATTATGTAATGTTTATGCCTTTTGTATAATTACAGGAATGCTTAAGAAAAAGGCGTGATGTTAATAAGACAATGCATTAAACGAGTGTAAAAAGTCATCAAGTACTGTTTAATCATGGCACCGCTATTAGAGCGATTGCGTGTTATAAAGATGTTACATTAACGATTTTTTGCGTTTCCATTTTTTGAAGTTTCCAGGAAAGTCTTCGGAGTAAACAGAGAATATACACAAAGATAGGGATTTAAATTAATTTCTGTTTATAGGTCTAACGACTGTTGCGGGAGTCTGTAAAGATTATGTGAATATTAAAAAGGAAATTTTCAATATGAAAAGGTTCAATTACTACGACGTTTAGCATCGTGGCTACGTGACCCAATCGTGATCGTCACTGGGGACGATGAAAAATCTATTTCGATTAAACATCATGTTCCCATTGTTAAGTAGGATATTCGTGAGGGACACAACGGTGGATTTGAGAGAGCATGAACATTGGCATGAAGGCAGTGGTGTTGCGGTGTAGGTAGGGGAAAATGAGGTAATGGGAGTCAGTGGGTAATAGTGGTCAGCCACATATATACAAAACTTCAATCACTAGAGATGCGTAAATGGCCTCCCTACTCCGCTATGTCCCTCACAATCGTTGCGAGCCGGCTGAGCCTGTATGGCAACGGCATCGGGAACGAGAGATCATTTTTGTTTTTGCGGCTTGCCGATATAAATTTCCTCTCTCGTAAAATAAACGGTAAGTATCACATTTATTGATCTACTTATTTGTAACTTTCATGCGCCTTTATTCGGACATTCAGTGTAACGATTTCAAACATATAACACGTGTGCTGCAAAAATATATTTTGTTTTTAATTTTTTTTTCTTCTTAGAGTGCTTGTGGATAATGAGAAACGGATGACCCCCATTGCCCACTATGGCCACTATTACAGGCATTGTAGTTGGCGTATACTATATTTTTTGATTTATCAAAAAATCTTAAAACATAATTTTAATCAGTTTTCGAAAATGGCTGGACGTGACTGGTTGTTGACATTTAATAACGTTTCATCTGTAAGTAAAGGGGAATCGATATTTAGGGCTACTGGTATTTACCCAATAAACCCCGACTTGTTTTCTGAAGAAGATTTTCTGCCAGCCGAACTGCTCCAATCGGAGACTACTGCCATTCAAAACTATGATGAGTCAGATGCTATTGATGACCCAGCATCAGATTAAGGAGAATCTTCAATAACTGGCACATCAATGCATGTTGGTTCACCGAAGCCACCATCACCACCACCAACTTCTTGCGCAGTTGATTACCTAGGCCCTGGTCTGCGAGCTGGGATATGTTTGCGATTAGTGTTAGATTTTGTTTTATCCTCATTGCCCACAAGGTGACCACAATTACCCTTACCTCAGTGCAATTGGAGTCAAAACTGTTTTTTTACTTTAACTCTTTTACTTGCCAAAGTTAATTATTAATGTGATGACCATTGATCTCAAACGACAGCCAAGTAAGTAGACTTTGTTATGAGGCGGTTGCAATAAGGATTCTGTTTCAAACTTTTTAATTATTTAATTTTTCGCTTAAGT